AAATAAGTTAATTTATAATTTTTCAGAACCATCTACTTTTTTCTAAATATAGTTCCTACTTTTGCCTGTTCTAAATTTTATAGGATTTTTTTTTCTGTTTTCTACAAGTACCAGGAGATACAAATTCTGGTCGCGCTTCTACTACTGTTGCTATTGCTGCAAGTCAGTGAGTTCCTCAGCCACAGTTTTTCTGTGGATTTTAGAAAATTATGCATTTTATAATGCAAATATTAAGACAAACACTAAGGCTGGATGTCCTCAAAGATACTTTTTGAGTATACTAAAAACTTTTATGAATGTTTTGAATGCTCTACAATGTTAGATACCATGGTATATTAGATAGGGTTTGGGGTGAGTAGAACTGAAAAATTTATATTCATATTAGGAAATTTTGAAAAATAAATGAACTTTATTCTTTAGTTCTAGGTTCACAGCAAAATTGAGAGGAAAATATAGAGAGTTCTTGTATAACACTGTCCCCACACAAGCACAGCCTTCCCTGAACTCTCACACCACAATGATACGTGTATTACAGTTAGCAAACCTACATTGACACATCATTTTCATCCAAAGTCCAAAGTTTTCATTAAGGTAAAGTTTTGTTATTTTATATTTTATGGATTTTGACAAATCTATATACACGAATCCAGCACTATAATATCATACAGAATAGTTTCACTGCCCTAAAATCCTCTGTGCTCTGCCTGTTCATCCCTCCCTCCACCTGCGACCACTGATCTTTTGTCTGTCTCCAGTTTGCCCTTTCCAGAGTATCATGTAGATGGATTCACATAGTTTATAACCTTCAGATTGTTTTCTTTTCTTCTCTTTATTTATTTATTTTTATTGTTGAAAGTATTACAGATGCCCCCCTTTTTTCCTTATTGACCCCTCCTTCCCACTCCCACCCCGCTCCTGCCAGATTGTTTTCTTATACATTTAAGTTTCCTTTATGTCTTTGCATGGTTTGATAGTTATATATATTTATATATATTTTTTGAGCACTGGGTAATATTCCATTACCACAGTTTATCCCTTTACTTACTGAAGGACATCTTGGTTGCTTTCAAGTCCTAGCAGTCATGATTAGAGCTGCGATCTGTGTCTTGCACAGAAACGTCTTCGTGCAGGCATTTGTGTGGACATAGTTTTAAGTTCATTTGGGTAGATATAAGAAACTACTAATGTGTCTTCCAAAGTGGTTGTACCATTTTCCACCCTCACCAGCAATGAATAGGAGTTCTCATTGCTATACATCCTCACCTGCATTTGGTGTTGTCAGTGTTTTGGGTTTTGGCCATTCTAATAGGTGTGTAGTGGTATCCCATTGTTGCTTTAATTTGCAATTGCCTTATGAAATATGTTGAACATTTTTTCTTTTTTTTTATCCTCACCCCAGGATATTTTTCTGTTTATCTTTAGATAGAGTAGGAGGGACAGAGAGAGAGAGATAGAAACATCGATGTGAGAGAGACATATCAACTGGTTGCTTCCTGCATGACCCCAACCAGGGCTGGGGACAAATGGCAACTGAGAGGTACATGCCCTTGACTGGAATCAAACCTGCAACTCATTAGTCCACGGGCCGATGCTCTAACCGCTGAGCCAAACCAACCAGGCTGAATATTTTTTCATATGCTTACCTGTGGTCTGTATGTCTTCTTTGGTGAGATGTCTTTTTAGGTCTTTGGTCCATTTTTTAACCAGGCTGTTTGTTTTCTTGTTGTTGAGTTTTAAGAATTTTTTGTGTATGTTGGATAATAATTCCTTTTTTTTCTTTATTGATTTTAGAGAGAGAGGAAGGGAGAAAGAGAGAGAGAGATAGAAGCATCGATGAGAGAGAACATTAATTGGCTGCCTCCTGCACTGGGGACTGGGCCCACAACCTGGGTATGTGCCCTGACCGGGACCTCTTGGTGCATGGGTCGACACCCAACCAGTGATCCACACTGCTGGGCAAGATATGTCTTTTGCAAATATTTTCTCCCAGTCTGTGGCTTGTCTTCTCATTCTCTTGACAGTGTCTTTCACAGATCAGAGTTTTTAAATTTTAATTAAGTCCAGCTTATCAGTTATTTCTTTCAGGGACCATACCTTTGGTTTTGTACCTAAAGAGTCATTGCCATACCCAAGTTCATCTAGGTTTTCTCTTGTGTTATTTTCTAGGAGTTTTAGAGTTTTAGATGTAGGTCTGTGATTCATTTTGAGTTAAATTTATGAGGGCTATGAGGTCTGTGTCTAAATTAATTTTTTTTTATACATGTGGATATCTAGTTGTTTAATCACCATTTATTGAAAATACTATCTTTGCTTCATTGTATTGTCATGGCTCCTTTTGTCAAAGAATAATTGATATATTTTTTGTGGGTCTGTTTATCTATTTTTTTCACCAATACCACACTGTCTTGGTTACTGTAGATTTGTAATAAGTCTTGAGGTTGAGTAGTGTCAGCCTTCCAACTTTGTTCTTCAATAATTCTGCTAACAAGGGCAACCAGTGTTATTTTGACATATGTCTTTCTACCCTTTTATTTTTACTGTACTTTTTGCTTTTTACAAGTGAGATTATACAGTTTTGCTGTCATCATCAGATCCTCACACCCAAAACTTAACTAGATGTCACCTTCCCTAAACTATCTTCTTGTATTATCTGGATCACCTCACCATCTGCCTCCACTCATCAAACCAGGAACCTGGGAGTCACATCCATTCAGACCATAAATCATGACAGTTACACTTTCTAAATATTTTTGGATGTGCCTTCCCTCTCTTCTGTTACCACTTTTCATGGTCAAAGCTCTCATTGATTTTTCCCCTGAACGCCTACAATAATAGAGCATGTCTCTAGCATTATCCCCCTCAAATTCTGTACAAATCTTACTTAGATGATATATTTAAAATGCATATTTGACCTTGTGACTTTCCTTCTTAAAGTCCTTCAAACCCTTCAATGGCTCCTCATTGCCTCTGGGATAAATCCAAGAACCTAAGCATGGCTTATATATCTCTCTGTGGCCAGTACCCCTGCTGGCCTCTCAGATTCATCCTCTGACACTCCCTATCCCCTGCTTTTCCACTGTCACCAGCTTCATATAATCCCATCTCGTAGTCCTCCTCCCCCCACTCGGATGTTTTCTTACCTGTGTGTGTCATGCAGTCGTCCCTGCTTGGAATGCCTTTTTTCTCCCACTCTTCACCTCATCAGTACTTACTCATTTACAAACGGGTCTGTTGTTAGTTCCTACTCAAAACCTTACTCTAATTCCTGGACTCCCTGTTCCCCAAACTAGGTTTCTAGGTGCAAATCTCTCATTGCGTTTTCTTACATTCATTTATTCATCCCACCAACTATCCAACAATATTTGTGTTGGGCAGTATTTTAAGTACTGAGATATAGCAAATGATAAAAAAATAATAATAAAATGACGATCCCTCCATAATGGAGCTTATAATAAACAGTAAAAATATAATATGTTAGGTGATAAATACAATGGTGAAAAATAGAGGAAGAGGGATGGGTTGTTCTGAGGTTAGAGAAGAGGTTGCTGTTTAAAGAACATGGTCAGAGAAGGCCTCACTGATAACGTAGCCTTCAAGCAGAGACCTGTGGAGGTGAGAGAGGAGCCATGCGCATATGTGAAGAAACTCTGAGGAGGAGCCGCCCCGTGTTCCAGGGCCAGCAAGGAAGGCGTGTGCTCAGAGCTGAACTGGTGAGCGGGGAGGGGTAGGTGACATCAGGGAATTAATGACAGCCGGGTCATGAAGGGACTGTAGGCTGTTATACCAACTTTGGCTTTTGGCTTTTATGGAGACCCAAAACTGTGAAGGCTTTTTGCAAAGAAATGACAATATATGGCTGTGTGCTAATAGGATCCCTCTGACTACTGGGCTGAAGACAGGGTAAGGTAGGTGTAGTACTAGGAAGGGGTGGAGGTGTGGAGACCAGTTAGGACATTGTTGCAATAACCTAGATACAAGGTGATGATGGCTTGGACTGAGCAGAGTAGAGCCCGTGGAGGTGGTGCTGAGTGATTGGATTTTGGATATATTTTGAAGGAAGAGCCAACAGGATTTCTGAAGGATTGGATGAGAGGCATGGGAAGAAAACAGGAGACAAGGGTGACTTCTAGATTCTTAGCCTGGACAACCAGGGCAGAATCGCTGTGAAGTGGAGACGATGGCAGGAGAGCTTCAGATACAAGTTTGAGAAACCGGTGAGGCCTCCAGCGGGAGAGGCTGAGTGCGTAGGGGGAGGTGTGACCTGGAGGTCCGAGGAGAGGCCCGAGGGGGAGACGAATCCAAAAGCCGTCTGCATGCAGAGATTTCGAAGCTATGGAATCAGATGAGAGAAGATTGAGGTGAGATGACTGAGTCCTGGAGCAGTCAGGCTTGCGAGGCCACGGTGGTGCAGAGGGCGTCTGACCGAAGGAAACTGGGAAGGCTAGTGAGGCGGCAGGAGAGCCAGAGACAGCAGGGGCAGCTAGAAACTGCATTCGAAGAGGAAGGGGATGATGACTTGTGTGCAGTATTGCTGGTACATGGAGTAAGATGAGGACATTGTGTTGTAAGTCTCTGTTTATACATTTGTCTCCTTCAGTGGGCTGAGAAATTGTTGGGAGCAGGAACGCAAATGGCAGTGTAGTTATAGCTTTGAACGCAGAGATGTGGGCATGCCATTTAAAGGCTGTTTTCCCTCAGGCTGGTCCTCTCAGCACCCCCTCCCCTTTGCATTTGTCTCATCTGTAAGATGGGGAGATGTATGTTGTGAGGGTTAAGTTAGATCAGCCAGATGAAGCACTAAGCATAGTCCTGTTCATTTAGTTAAACACAGGACAGCTCTTGTCAGCATTATTAATTCTGTATACCTGCCTCTCCATATTAAGTAACACTTGTTGAATGGATGAGTGAATTGCCTTTTTGTTGGTTTGTTTTAATATTTCATTCCAGGAATTTCCCTGTGTGTTGTGAAGCTTTAACATGGCCTTTTTGGGTTTCTCTAGGATCCAGTGCTGATCTCACAGAGTACGTTCTGAAAGAGAGAGGAAGAGAAGTCCTCGGGGCGCGCTGATGCGATGGAGCTCCCCAACTATAGCCGGCAGCTGCTGCAGCAGCTGTACACGCTGTGCAAGGAGCAGCAGTTCTGTGACTGCACCATTTCCATCGGCACCATCTACTTCAGGGCCCACAAGCTTGTCCTGGCTGCTGCCAGCCTCCTGTTCAAAACCCTGCTGGACACCACAGACACCATCTCCATCGATGCATCTGTGGTGAGCCCCGAGGAGTTCGCCCTCTTGCTAGAAATGATGTACACTGGCAAACTACCTGTGGGCAAGCACAACTTCTCCAAAATCATCTCATTAGCCGACAGCCTCCAGATGTTTGACGTGGCTGTTAGTTGTAAGAATCTCCTGACTAGTCTTGTAAACTGCTCTGTTCAGGGTCAGGTGGTGAGGAATGTCTCCGTGCCATCCCCAGAGTCTTTCAGGAAGGAGTCAGAGAGGCCTGGAGTAGAAATCCTTTCCGCAGAGGGCGCGGGAGAGCTCTGTTCTCCCCCACCGGCTTCTACCCCTGGGAAGGCCGAGACCCAGGAAGCCATCCACATGGTTGCACAAGAGATGAGTGTGGGTCCTTCCCCTGCCCCGGAGGTCGAGGGGGATGCAGACGCCCCAGTGGAGACTTCTCCTACAGCTGAAGTCTATCCTTCCTCCCCTGTTGCACAAGCCTTCAGTGAGGCAAAGGAGGCAAGCACAGAACCAGGTAACGTTTGTGTAATAGTTGTTTTGTAATCTACCCTATCATCAATTACCAGATTCCATGATCTTGATGAAGTTTTTTCTTTCATTGATAAATTTACCAAAGATCACTGTTAGACAGGATATTGAAATCTAGTGCATTACTCCTACTGGGATATTCTTGTGACAGTGTCTGTGTTTCTGAGTGTTGGAAGTCTGAAGCTGAACTACATGGCAGGGAAAGCAATGTTGAAATACCAGTGTGCCATTTTTCATCCTTACCCATTCCTTTAACCAGGGTGAGGATGGCACAAAAGGAGAAGGTCTTAGAGACACTGTCTTCTGTTACTCGTAACTGATGTGCTAGATGTCAGTTGTCAGTTATAAATGCAGCCTGTGACCTAAAGTTTCTCAGGTAGTGTAAAGTTTTAAAAATAATTTCAAGTAATGAATCACTGATTTGTTTGTTTTGTTTTGTGTACATTCAGAGTATGAGAGGAAACACTACCAGCTGACTTTTCTTCTAGAAAATGAAAATATCTTCTCAGACACACTCTTGGTTACCCAGGATGTTTTAAAAAAACTGGAGGAATGTTCAGAAATTAAAGGTGTACAGAAGGAGGTAGGTACTGTGAGTTTTACTTGCTAGTTTAGTGTTCTCAGGGTACCAGATTCTCTTCCAAATGCGACAGAAATATGAAAATGCAAAATCCCCCAGACTCAATTTTTTCAATTTTTTTTTTTTACATTTATTCCCTAAAGGGTAGTCTTGCAAAAGTACTAGGCAAGATAGTTTCAAAACAAAATTGTATTTTGATTACTGGGTGAATCCCAGCTTACAACCAATTTTGGTTAAGTGATTTTACCATTCTCTCTGATTAATCAAGGATTAAATAAAACAACAACAAATACTTAACACATGGTACAAAAAGGATGTAATATAAACTTACATAGTAAATTGCATCCAATGTTTAGGCCTACAATGGCCATTTTCAGATATCAAAACAATAATGGTACACTTATTAAACATTTACTGTGCTATATTTACTGAATATATGTTATCTCATTTAATCCTCACAAAAGTCATCGAGGAGGATACTCTTTTACTATTTTTTAGCCCTGTTTTATGGATGAGAAAACTGTCTCAAGGAGATGATGTAACTTGGCCAAGATGGCAGAACTTGTAAGACTCAGAGCAAGAATTCAAACCTAAGCATTCTGACTGAGCTGTTCTCTCACAGGCTGAGTTAATACTGCCTCCCAACAGGGTAGAAATGATGTGCGTAGATCACGTGTGTATAAATGTTTAGGAGTTAACTGACAGAAGACTGCCTACCGGCTATCGTGCTCTACTTCTTGGCTGACCTTTTTTCCTTTGATGTCTCAGTGAGACACATCTCCGCCTGTGGGCTCCCTCACTCCCGAATTCCTACGTCCTTGCAGGATTGACTCCATGGCCACTTGGAACTTCCCTTGCTTCCCCTTTCTCCCAGAGTGAGAGGGCTCTGCCCCGAAGGCTGCCTTGTCCGATGGGCAGGGCAGTGTCGGGAGGTCTCCCATGTTGCTGTAGGCATTTAGTTTTTGTTTGTTACTATTAATTCAATAAATAAATACCTCCTAATATTTCAATATATCCCTGCTGCATAGCAAATTCCTTTTTTAAACAAAGAAAGTCACCCTGGTCAGTTTGGCTCAGCTGTTAGAGCTTCGGCCTGTGGTCCAGAGAGGCCCAGGTTCGGTTCCCGCTAAGGGCACGTACCTCGGTTGCGGTTTGTCCCCGGCCCCTGTTGGGGTTGTGTGGGTGGCAGCCAGTCGATGTGTCTCTCACATCAATGTTTCTCTCTCTCTCTCTCTCTCTCTCTCTCTCTACCTCTACCTCTACCTCTCTCTCTCTTGGTCTATCTGAAGATAAATGCAAAAAGTGTCCTCAGGTGAGGATAAAAAAAACAAGGTCAAGTATTTTATTTATTTATTTTAAAAATATGCTTGTGTTGGTTTTTTACGGAGAGAGAAAGATAGAAACATTGATGTGAGAGAAATACATCCGTTGGCTGCCTCCTGCACGCCCCCTACTGGGGATCAAACCCACAACCCAGCCATGTGCCCTGACTGGTAATCTTTTTTTTTTTTTTTAAATATCCTCACCCAAGGACATTTTTCCATTTTTTGTTCAGATAGAGTGGGAGAGAGAGGAAGAGAGCGAGAGAGAGAAACATCGACGTGAAAGGGACACATCGAGTGGCTGCCACGTGCACGACCAACCAGGGCTGGGGACAAACTGCAACTGAGGTACGTGCCTTTAGCAGGAACCGAACCCGGGCCTCTCTGGACCACAGGCTGACACTCTAACCGCTGAGCAAAAGCGGCCAGGGTCTGACTGGTAATCTAACTGGGACCTCTCAGTCCGTGGGGTGACAATCCACTGAGCCACGCAGACCAGGCTCAAGTATTTGTTTATTTATTATTTATTTTTTCTTTATTTAATTTAGAGAGAAAGGGAGAGGGAGAGACAGATAGAAACATTGATGAGAGAACATCAACTGGCTGCCTCCTGCATGCCCCCCACTGGGGATTTGGTCCACAACCTGGGCATGTGCCCTGACCGGGAATCGAACTAACAACCTCTTGGTGCTCAACCACTGAGCCACATCAGCCAGGCTCAAGTATTTATTTTAATCATGGTTAGTCAACAGTTAGCTATAAACTGTATTCTTAAGAGATAAGCTATTTACAAGACTGGTTTAACCCTGATGACTCTCCTAGTGAGGTTTCAAGTTATAAATCCTGGGTATTCTTTGTACCAGTTGTGCTAAGGGTATTATGGTTTTATGTTTTCGCACTTGGATGTTCTCTTAACTGTTTAATCCATCATATCCAAAGTAACTGGTTTGTTACTTTGATAGCTATAGTCACACCTCTTTATTTCCTCTCTTAAGACTTCCTCTCCACTTAAGTTTGGATATAGACAGCAACATCATTCCTTAGATCCACAATATTGAAATTATTAGTGACACCGCTTTACCTATTTGAATGTGTCTTAATGCATTTTTTCCTAACACTGGTGCCTAAAAATATCTGGCACATAACAGGTGCTTAGAAATATTTACAAAGATTCATTTAACATTTTTTCCTCCAATTGTCCTAATCTTTTGATGGCAATAACATTACTAGTACTTTGAAAGAACACGGAATCACAGTTGGTGATCATTATGGGCTTATGTGTTTCTTCCTCGGGTTCAGAGGTCAGAGTAAGAGCTCTGCAAACCTTTTGGTGTCTGTGTTAAAGCTGACTCTGTTATACTCCATAATAAATCTTCCCGCTGCAGAAAGAAAGGAAAAAGATACTTCAAGAACACAAGATTCAAGAAAATAAAATAGAGTTAGGGAGGTACCGCTTTCATAGGCCCTGCACTTCTCTCTCTCTTTTTACTTGCTTTTAGACAGTTTTATTGAGGTATGAGTACATATAGTAAACTGTACATACTATTTAAAGTGTATAGTTTGATAAGTTTTAAAACCTGAAACCATCACTATAATCAAGGTAGCAAATAATCTATCACTTCTAAAAGTTTCATTTCCCACCTGGCCAGTGCGGCTCAGTGGATTGAGCATCCTCCCATGGACTGAGAGGTCCCTGTTCGAGTCCCAGTCAGGGCACATGCCTGGGCAGGGGGCGTGAAGGAGGCAGCGGTTGATGTTTCTCTTTCACATCGATGTTTCTCTCTCTCTCTCTTTTCCTTTTTCTGTAAAAAAATAAATAAAAATTAATAAACACATATCTAAAAATAAATATAAAAAATAAAGGTTCATTTCCCTTTGTAATTCCTCCTTCCTGCTCCTTCCACTCACTCATGCCCAGGTAGCACTGCTCTGCTTTCTGTCTCTATAGATCAATTTGCATTTTCTAGAATATTATATAATATTCTATATGGAGCCATATAGACTGTATTCTTTCTGGTCTGGCTTCTTTCATTCAGCATAATTATTTCAAGGTTGCCTGTTCCTTCTTTTGCACTGTTGCGCACTGCTCCATTGTGTGGGATACAGTTTATCCAGCTCTACTAGCCCTGTGACCTCGAACAACTTCATCTCTGTGAGCCATTCATTTCCTATTTGTAAAATGGGAATGTTATCACCTATATCACAGAATCACGGTGAAATTAAGATCATTTATATGAAACTCATGCTAAAATGCCAGGCACAGAAAAGGACTCAGTAGGTGGAGACTGGTGTTGTTTGTTACATATTAACACAGCATTTTTAGACTTAGTTGATCTTGAAACCCCCCTTTCACCTCATCCCTTTTAATATCCTAGTGCCATGGTCGTTGATTCCTACACGAGATGGTTTGCTGTTATTTTAGGCATAGTTTTCAAGTCGTGTTTTCAAATAGGTGCCCTCACACCCTTGGATGTAGCTTTCTGAACTGCAGTTGTAATGTCTCGTACAAAGCCACCAGTCTCTGGAACAGTGGTTCAGTGCATATGAAAACCTTCGGGGGGTATGTTAAAATGTGCACGTCCAGACTGCATTTCCAGAGAGTGACTCCTAGGTTGTGGTAGAAATCGGACATCTCCATCTTTAACAACTCCCCCGTGGCTGCTGTTTGGGTATCTCTAAACCACGCTTTGAGAAGAAGCACTGCTGGAAAATTAATGGCTTACAAAATTCTTAGTGTCTGATGGCAGGTATCACAGTGTCTCTGCTGACATCTCTCAAACCTTTGAGGGATCACTGAATATCCATTTTTCCCATGTCACTCTTTGCTTGCCCCTTGATTCAGCAGATACTTACTGAGCAGCTGGTATGTGCTAGGCATTGAGCTGTTTGTTAGGAAAACAAACCTAAGACTGGATCCCTATCCTTGTAGGATGTCCTAACAGCAAAGAAATCCTGCCACGTGTAATTTGGGGGAAGTATACACAGAAGTCACCAAACTATGGAAATCACCAAAAGATGTCAGTGTTCAGTGTATTTAAGAACTGTTCTGTATCATTCAACATTCCAGTTACCATCTTAAAGGTTGTTTGGAGGGTTTCGTTTGTTTTTTGATGTTATTCTGCTTACATATTTTTAGTTCCCACATAGCTTCTAGTATTTTTTGTTGTTGGCAGCGATTGTTACTTGGTTAATCATCATAACATAACTTGAGATAATTTAACAGTAAAAGAATCTATGCTTCAATGTGTCATTTTGAGACTTGATTTAAAGCCTTACGAGTGATGTTCTGGTTGAGATGGACCAGCCTATTTCTTTTCTGAAAAACAGATACAGGGTGTGCAGCCTGGGTTGAGTTTAGGGAGGACACCATGAACCAGTGTCCTGATTGTTTTATTTCCTGAGATAAATGATGAAAGGCGGCAAAGCCATTCCCTGAGCAGTGACTGCGGCAATGTGAGAAGAGGTTGGCGCTTGAATTGTGCGAAACCAAAGCAACACTGATTGTGGAGAAGTCTCTTGGGTGCTGGAATGGGCCATGTCTTCTCCCTGTCTTTATCCCAGTGTTCTGTCCCCTACCCATTAGAGAAAGCAGATACTGACCTAAGAGGCTTTCTGGCTGAGCTTAGTAAAATCTTTATTTGAAGACAAACTCAAACTTTTTTTTCAGCTTGTATGTTAGAATTTTTAATTGTCTTCTTTTATTTCTAACCACGTCCCTGCTTTTGATTATGTATACAGCAAAGTGAGTCTTTCACTAGAGTAAGGAGATACCTTTTTCTACTATTGATTTCCTTGCTGTTTGATCTACTTTTCACCTAAAGTTCTAGAAAGACTCTCAAAGCTGAAGGTATAGTCGCATTTTTCTCTCCTTCAACTGTGTTTCAAAGGCAAACAGATCTTGTCTCCTATGTGAATCTAATATTTTCAGCCATGTTACTGCTTTGGAGCTTTGTCAAGAAGTGCAGGTCTGTGCCGTGTGGACTGTGTTCCTGACGGGAGGCTGACCCTCTTGAGAAGTGAGTTAATAGGATTCATTTTGCAGGTCTGCGAGAGATGAAAATGAGTTGTTTTTCCAAATCACCTCTGAGCTAGTCATCAGGTCTGAGATATGCTGCCATAGATGGAAGGCTAGTGGTTTATGGCAAGGACATCTCATTGAGTTAATCATTTATTGAGCACCTACTATGTCCCAGTGTACTGCTCACTGAGACCAAGAGAAATGCTGCAGTTGTGTAGGTACTACGGCACAGTGTTTAAAGTGATGTTGACTCTGGTAAGTCTGGTAGAACCCAGTACAAATGGATTTGGTTACACTAAAAACCTGCGAGATGGAACTGCGTAAAAGGGTGCCAGGCCAATGGAATGAGCTCAGTGTTTCTTCCAGGTTACTTCACCTCTCTGACTGTCATTTAACTGGCTGTAGTAATGCCTCCTGGGGCTGCGCTGTGGGGTAGAGTAGATGGCGCATATGCAATGTCTGGGATGGTGTTGAGCTGTTGTGGTCTGTATCCTTCCTGCCCTTAGCATCTAGGGGAGGCATGTGCAAACAAGAATACAGTGCAGCCCTGGCTGATTTGGCTCAGCGGTTAGAGCGTTGGCCTGCGCCCCGGGTTCGGTTCCCACTGAGGGCACGTGCCTCATTTGCAGTTTGTCCCCGGCCCTGATTGGGTCGTGTGGGTCACAACCACTCCATGTGTCCCTTTTACGTCGATGTTTCTCTCTCTCTCCCTCCCACTCTATCTGAACAAAATATCGAAAAATGTCCTTGGGTGAGGATTAAAAAAAAAAAAAATACAGTGCAGCCCAGACAAATCTGAAGGCAGTAGGCAAACAGTTGGGAAAATAAGTAAGTTCAATGAAAAGACCTGAGTGTAAGGGAAAGATTAATTTTTTTTTTCACATATAATAGAGGGAAAGGAAACTCTCTTTGAATATTTTACTTGAATAAAAATGCTTTGATTATACATGTGACTGAATTGATATGAATTTATTGACATACCTTTCAGAATCAAAGGAGTTCCAAATGTATGGTTAAAGAACAGAACTCTGTTTTGGTTCATGTCTTAGAGTTCTGTTCATGGTAGCAATCAATGAACCCCAGCCTGTAGCAATATGCGACACCCTCTGTTTAGGCAGAGACACTATTTCAGAAAAGAGCTCACTCCACTGTGGAGCCCCCGGCAGCATCAGGGGCTGGTGGAGTAACAGTTATAAACGCTGGCTCTGGTACAGGTCCCCAGTAGGATCTGGAAGAAAGAGCAGAGAGCAGGGCCATCCAGGCAACTGACTGCTCCCTCCTGGCCCTTTCATCAGCCCACTGCTACTTCTCTTCCCAGATGGTCACCCTAGCATCACTGCTGAGCAGTGAAGTTAACAAATGTTTTAATTTCACTGCTGAGTAGTTCTGCAGAGGAGGAGACAGCAGAGAGGATAATGAGAAGCACATCAGATGCCGCCATTGATGAGAGCTTCTCTTCCCCAGTGGCCCAAACGATAATGCCGGACAAATTGGATGCTGAGAAAGGTGGATTAGGGGTATTCGGGGAACAGCGCTGGCCAAGTATAGAATTAGATAGTTGTGTGCTATTCAACTATGATGCACTAAAGAAAGAAAGGGAAAATAAAGAGAAAGAAACATGTTTACTAAGGGCATTAGCAATGAGTGAGTATCAGTTATCTATCTCTGTATAACAAAGCACTCTAAAGTTTAGCAGCTTAAAAGAACAAACATTTATTACCTCATGGTTTCTGTGGGTCAGGAATCCAGGCCTAGCTGAGTCCATGGCTCGGGTTCTCTCACAGGGCTGGCCTCCAAGTGTCAGCCAGGGCTGCAGAATCCCAGGGCTCGGCTCCGAGCATCTCTTTCTAAGCTCACTCACGTGACTGTTGGCAGGCTTCCCAAGATCCACTTCCCAGCTCACTCACTGACTGCCGGCCAGAGACATGAGCTCCTTCCACTCTGTAGGCAGCTCACCCATGGCCACTTGCGTCCGAGCGAAGGCAGACACTGTGCAGACAGGTGAGGTGGCGGTCCTGGTAACCTAATCTCAGAGGTGGCATCTATTACTTTTGCTGTAGTATCTTCCTTAGTTATTAGGTTCCGCCCAAGGGCATGAGTGCCTGGAGGCAGGGATATTGAGAACCGGTGTAGAGGCTACCCACCTCAGGTCCGACTGCTGCCAGGGAAAAGGCATTCTGAAGAGATTCTAGGCCAGCTGACAAAACGTGAAGGGTGGAATAAACGTGATTAACGGGGATTAAGTGTGCAATTAGTATCTTTAGCTCATTTATCATTTTTAAATAGAGAGAAGTTCGCTGTAGTTACTTACTCCAGTAAAATCTTAATGTGGGTTACTAAGCCTTGTTTTACCTAAGTTTAATTTGGAGATGACTAAAAACCATAGAAAACTTTTTTTAAAAAGTGTAAATTAGCTTTATACAGTCATTCTGTGATCAGGAAACAAGCTAAAGCAAAACCAAGAAATATAAAGTCTAACTCATTTGTAATCTCTATTTATTTGGGAGCAGGGGAGAAAGAAAAAATCTCTCTAAACAAAAATTTTAGAACATAATTACTACCAGAATTTATAATAACTGTCTAGCTGAACTTTGCAAGCATAGATATTGATGAGATCCTATCATGCTGTGTGTGTGTGTGTGTGTAAAAAAACTTAACTTTGCTCTCTAAAGACTCCTGAGAAAACTTTTCTTTTATAGTATCAACAGTAAAAAACATCAAAAGTAGGTTGTAATTGTGCCAAGTAGAAATGTAAACACTATATATAAGACTTTACACGTGAAATTAATTTTTGGTTACCAGATATTTTTTCAAATAAATTAATTATTGCTGAAATAGAAGTGTTGATCACGCCTTCCAATTGGCCTTCCTACCTTTTGTGCGAGAGATACTCTATAAAACCAAAGAATGGAAAGGTGATTTTCTTTTACCACTGGAGCTGTTGATATGTTTTGCACTCTAGGTTTAGAAGAGTCAAGATGGTGAGCTCCCTTCCAGACATGTGGTGCTGAGGCCTCTGGAGGCAAAGGCATATTCAGCAGAAACTATGTAGTTCTAGATTGAAACACCGAGCTCAGTGTTAGCAGTTTTTCAGGGTTATCTGCATAAAAGTGATAGTTGAAAGCTCTTCAAAAGGGAGAGAATAAAGATAAAAATTAGTTGAGACCAGTCTTAGGTACTGTTTATGGTAATGGATTTGGAAGAACCAATGAGGAAGACTGAAAAGGAGTAGTCAGAAATTGCTTATCCAAAATGCTTCAGTATGATGAAGTCAGAGAATTGTTATACTGAGGCAATAGCAATATCAAATGTCACAGAAAGGTCAAGTAGGTGAGGATCAGATTGTTGAGGGCCTTACTTGCTAAATCCAAGGAGCGTGAGGTTCTTGTGTCTGGCTAACATCTCTTTCCGGGTACTTGTGTTCCGCAGACCATAAGGGGATGTCTTGCGGGTGAAGGACATTCGGCATTCCAGAGAATCCTGGATAAAGTAAGAGATGAGAGCCTGGATGTTCAGACTGTTGTGTCCCTGTTAAGGCTGTACCAGGACTCCAGCCCTGCAGTAAAGGCAGCACTGTTGGGCAGAAAGCCAGAGGATGTGGAAGTGGTGCAGCCAAAAGGTAGGAGGAACCGTCCACCTGAGTCACTGAGCTTTGTTCTGGGCAGATGCTGTAAAGGTTGCTCTAGTGATTCATTTCTTCAGTGGCCTCATTATTGTTAAGTGCTTTTCACATAAATTGTGCATGTAACTCCAGAAGCTGCATGTTAAATATATACAGGCTAAATCTGAGTCTCCATTTCTATCCCCTAGTGTACTAAACTAGTCTGACACCTTGAGGTCAGAGAATACCATTCGTGTTCTTCTGCCCTTCAAAATGCCACACATCCACCTCAACGTTTTGAGCCCAGGGTAACTGGTTTGCTGACAGCACTTTTAAAGGCTGCAGTTTCTCTTGTGTGGGTTCGGTACAAAGTGGTGGCCTTGCCAACCAGAAGTTAACCTCTGGCTGGCTCTGCAGCTTTGTGTTTCGACAGATAAATGAAACATTTTTTCTTTCATGCAATTTAAACAGAATAATAAAGTATTTTCCTCTCCAAAAAGAGAGATTCTGCATTTGGGTCCTCAGAATAGGCTGAGAATCACTTTACTATTCTGTTAGATCTCTCTTGACAAACCATGCTGTCATTTTCTTCAAATTGACTAGCTTCTCTTGTGCGTCTCTAACTTTCTCCCGCAGGGAGCACAGACGAGGGAAAGACCTTGTCTGCTCTGTTACTAGAACACAAAGAGGACCTGATCCAGTGTGTAACACAGCTGAGACCTATTGTGGAGTTCCTGGAAACAGACAAGGAGGAATTCCTGCCTGACACTGAGAAAAGGGTAACTGTCAAGTGTCTCTTCCTCCTTTCTGTATCCATATAGCATTGTAGTTTTTTTAACCTCTTTTGTGGCATGTAGCGATTTTTACCTTGCAGTATTTTTGTACATATTGCATAGTAAACACCTTGAAGTTCAGGTTCTTGATTCATGTCTTTGTATCCTTGCAACAGCTTGCCGAGGGCCTTGCACATTGTAGTTGTACATTAAATGTTTCGGTGTGTGGATAGATGGATATTCCTGCTCTGATCCTGTGAGTTTTATTATAAAATAGTTGTCCCAAGAACTGAAGTGTCTAGGTATATTTGTAATTATTATGACACTAGTCCTCTTTACAGAAATGATATACTGTTAATCTGTACGAAATTGGGGAAACAAACAGAAAGGAAGAAACTCGAATATCCCATAATCTCATCCCTCAGAGATGATCACTGCTCACCGTGTCGAGTGTGTGCTTCCCCTTTGCTCATTTGAATCATCCTGGGCTGCAGCTATCACACTGTTCTTTAACTTTTTAATTTAATGTATTATGAATTCATTTCCATACTTACAGTATGGATTCTGGTAGCTGTTGTATTCTGTCTAATGGATATACCATAATTCATTAATTCTTTGTTGTTGGACATTTGTACCCAGTATTTTGCTGTTGTAAATGATGTTACGGGAACAGCCTGGCACACAATCTTTGCACACTTCTGAAATCATTTTCTTAGAATAATTTTCAAGAAGTGGGATTTTGAAATAGAGATTATAAAGTTTTTCAAGTGCTTGATATATATTGCCAAATTGCCCTTCAGGAAGGTTGTACCAATTTACTCTCCCTCCAGCTAGCTGCTAAACTCCTCATGAAACCGCTGGCATGACTTCTCGGGTCAACTGGATAACTATATTTGTTGGTGTTATTGATTTCAACTTTGTGCTAAAACTGTGTTTATATCTGGAAAGAATAGAACTTTTGTGGCATCAATTCTTTGTGGGAAGTGGCTTAAACATCCAGGGGAGGAAATGTTCAGAAACCACGGGTGCAGTGGCTGCTTGCTGGGTGAACAGTGAGACTGGAGTCTGGACTTTCTTTTTCTCAGCAGTCTTGTATTGTATTTCTTCAATAAAATGGGAATAATCTTTAATCTCAAAATTATATTTTGTAAATTAATTCTATTTTTTAAATTTTAACTCCTTTGAACTTCTTAACAAAAGATAATACACAAAATAAGATTAAGATTAAACCCCTCTTTTATCCTTAGACTTCAGATTAAGTGTAATTTCAGGCACTCGATTAAAGTCAGTTGCTTGTAACTCTAGAGGTACCCAATTTCCTTAGTGATTCCACTCAATTGCTCATTCAGACCTTTTTCTTATTAGCTGGATTGAATGTGTCCTTTGAACTGTTCCATTATCTTGGTAAAACAGCGTTTATAGGTAGAGCCCAAACTCAGCCTCATTCTCTGCAGCAAGATAGACCACGCTGTCATTTTCTTCTGTCACTCAGTTAACTTGACAGAAAGGGCTGAAGCAGAAGAACTTGAATTAGCTATGAATCACAAAAAATACTTCTTAAGACTGGGGTTCCACCAGATCCTCATTAAGCTACTCCCCTTCACGAAAACTGAAGCAAAATAATAAAGCAGGTGTGTGGAGGTGATGATCAAATAGCCACAGTGTTTTGACACCACGTGGAGCATGCCGAGGCCTTTTTCTGTTATGGAATGGTGCTAATCATCGGCACCTTGGCCCTTATCTGTACATATCGTGGGTTTGGTAAGAAATGTCTTCAGGGTTGGAAACATACAAAAATAGTAATGATATAGCTGCCATTTACTTTGCTTATTGTATGCCAAGAAGTATGCTGAGGACCTTTTAAGCATATAAATTCTACCCTCACAGCAACTTTATGAAGTCATTACTCTAATTTTAAAGATGAAGAAACAGACACTTATAGGTAAGGCGCTCACTCAAAGTCACAGCTGCTTGTGGCCAGTACTGGAACCCAGACTTCTACACAAAGCATTCTCTTAACCATTGTGCATACTGCTTCTAATAATATCAGTAACTGTCATTTATTCACAATCACATAGTACTGGGCATTATGTTAGGCTCTACAAATAGCAGCTTCATTTTACAGACTCCTCATGACCACTGTGCAAGAGGTGGTATACTTATCTTCTTTCATGGATGAGGAAAACAAGGTTCAAAGAATTAAATGTCTTGCCCAAGCCCACACAGACAATACATTTCAGAACTGGGGTTCAAACTAGGCCTGTCAGGCTTTAAAACCCATTCCTACTCTCTTTTTTTTTTTTTAATCCTCACCCGAGGACATTTTTCCATTTTTTTTGTTCAGATAGAGTGGGAGGGAGAGAGAGGAAGAGAGAGAGAGAGAAACATCGATGTGAAGGGACACATCGAGTGGCTGCCACCCGCACGACCAACCAGGGCCGGGGACAAACTGCAACCGAGGTACGTGCCCCTAGCGGGAACCGAACCCGGGTCTCTCTGTACCACAGGCCGACGCTCCAACCGCTGAGCCAAACCGGCCAGGGCCCCATTCCTACTCTTAACCGTAACTGGCTGCTTCATGATGTATCAGGTTATTGCTTAGGAACAAAGAGATAGCACTGAAATCAGTGTGGTTTTTAGATACAAGCTCTTAAATTTTAACTTATGATTTATTTACTAGACATCTAATATATATTAGACCTTGAAGAGAATGACTATGTTCTGTACTAACAGGGAATATGACAACTTGATTTATAATATATACCTTTCTTTCATATATATAATATAGATATTCCTTTCATATATATAAAACTAATTTGTTTTCATAGCAAAATTCATTATTTTGAAATGGGAGTTAGTTTGATAATGGCGTCCTCTGGTGTGCTACCATGACTGATCTGCTTGACTTCCTACTGAGAGCTGGTACTTTCCCAAAGGAAAGCTCAATATTTAGTTACTATGAATCTGCAGATTACATGTGTTGAAATAATCCCCCGCATTATCAGTTCCATAAGAGCTGAGTTATGCATATTGAATTGTAACCCATTAAAAAATAGTTCTGTTGTAATAGGAAAATGTCTGTAAGATAGATGTCATTTGTTTGATTTTTCAACCTTTTGCTTGCGCCCAATGCACTCTTGACTCAGAACATCCTTTAACACACCAAGGACAAAGGAGTGGTTGTGTGGTGATGACTGGAGCTGATGTATGAGGCTGTTGAGAACGAGAGAGATAGACAGTAAGAATCCACAGGAAAAATAATCCAGAAATGTACTTTAAATCTGTTATTTTGGAGGGCACAGACTAATATATAAATTATCTGGGTATTCAAATTGCTATACAAATAAAATAAGAGGAAGTAAAATAAAAGAATTACTTTGAAATTGCAATGTGTACTACTGCCGTATACCTTACTGAACAGAAATCGAAAAACATTGTAACTGTATTAATTATCAATATGTTTCTCAGTTTTAGTGTCTGAACAAACTAACCCTAAAGAATCAGGTTAGATGTAAGCTACTTACTCTGTCATATAGGCTCAGTGTAAGAATATTTTCACAGAGTGCACACTGTTAGAGGCAAAGAATATACACAGACCTGCAGGTGAGAAAGATTGATTTTCATAGAGCTATTTGTTTGGAGAACGTTTTGGATTTTTACTGAAATAGAATAAGGAAGAGACTATGAAAGAGTAAAAGACCAGCAGAGGGAGGACCTGAAGACAGGGCATCTTGTGATACCATCTTGATGGGTTTTCCAGTGGTGCGTCAGATACATTTAGAATTGCCAGTAACAGTGTCTGGTTGATTGCTTGCCACTGCAGGTGATTCTGAATTGCTGTGAGGGCGGAACACCCAAGGAGACGATAGAAAATTTGTTGCACAGAATGTCTGAAGAGAGGACCCTGACTGCTGAGAGTTTGGTAAAACTCCTTCAGGCTGTGAAGATGACATTCCCAAACTTGGGCCTTCTGCTGGAGAATTTGCAGACACCAGTCACTTTGCCGAGCACCACAGGTATTAGTTAATTGTTGGCTCTCTGGACCGGAACAACTTCTACAGAAAATCATAACTTAAATTACGGTTTTAGTTCCATGCTGGGGAGCAAGATAACGTGAAAGGCCATTGCAGAATAGAAACTAGCTGTCGCAGATCCGTGATTCTAATAGTTCTGGAGTTAAGACCTGAAATCTGAGAAGTACTCTTTTCTAGTAAGCTCCCTCATGATGTCCCAGTGGCGTAGGGTTTGTTAAAGTGTGGCTTTCCCAGGACTGTCACATGTCATCAGACAAGCTCACGAGGCTCATGATTTTGACATTTTATTTTATTTATTTTATTTTTTTTATCCTCACTTGAGGACATTTTTCCATTTTTTGTACAGATAGAGTGGGAGGGAGAGAGAGAGAGAGAAACATCGATGCGAAAGGGACACATCGAGTGGCTGCCACCCGCACGACCAACCAGGGCCGGGGACAAACTGCAACCGAAGTACATGCCCTTAGCGGGAACCGAACCCGGGTCTCTCCGGACCGCAGGCCAATGCTCTAACCGCTGAGCCAAACTGGCCAGGGCGATTTTGACATTTTATACTGACAAATCAGTCTTGATTTCCCCATTCCTACCTGAATGCTCTTTGGTTCCGGTTCTAGCAGACCCCTCGTATTCATTCAGTTTGGGTCAAGAAGTCCACATTCCATTCCTTAGGAAAACACCAACTCTAGCCAGTTCTCCCCTCTGTTAGAGCATTTGAGGCTAGATCGTTTTCAGAGAAACCATATTTGGGAAAGGAGAGAACTTTTTTCTAGTTTATAAAAGTAGTGTATACTTACACAAACTTGAACAGTTTTTAAAATAAAGAAGAAAACCATTTAAAACCCTACCACTTGATTATATCAATATTCACATATTGACATATTTTGTCATATTATTTGTACAATGTTGAGATATTTTGCCATATTTTATAATTTTTCCCATTTAACAGTATAACAAACATTCTCCCTCATTACAGAAACCTCCCTATGATCATGTTTTATTTTGTTATGTTTTGTTTTTTTGTGTTTTTTTTTATCCTCACTTGAGGACATTTTTTGACATTTTGTTCAAATAGAGTAGGAGGGAGAGAGAGAGAGAGAAACATTGACGTGAAAGGGACACATTGAGTGGCTGCCACCCGCACGACCCAACCAGGGCCAGGGACAAACTGCAACCGAGGTACGTGCCCTTAGCAGGAACCGAACCCAGGTCTCTCCAGACCGCAGGCCAATGCTCCAACCGCTGAGCCAAATCGGCCAGGGCTATTTTGTTATGTTTTAGTTTTTTTTTTATTGATTGATTTTAGAGAGGAAGAGAGAGAGCGGTAGAGAGAAACATTGATATGTTGTTCCCTCCATTTATGCATTAATTAGTTGACTCTTTACATGTGCCCTGACCAGGGATTGAACGTACAACCTTGGCATATTGGGACAAACTAGAGTTTGTCCACCTGAGCTACCCGGCCAGCGCTATAGTACTGTTTTTTGGAAGGTTATGTAGTTTTCCTTCATAAGAATGTATATGATGTATTATTTATGTCCTCGTTTGGGTACTCATGTAGCATGATAGTTAAGGCTGCCAAGACTACTTGGGTTTGCATCCTGACTCATGTTATAACTGTGTGACCCTGAGCAAGTGACTTAAGCTTTCTGAACCTCATTCTCTCCTCTGTGAAATAAAGATAAGAAAGGTGCCTGTCACATTCGTTTGTATGGCTACTGTGAGATAACATATGCAAAACATTTCGCACAATGCCTGGCACATAGTTGTTATTATCTTCCTCATCATCATACCACAAGTTACACAGTGACAAATACCTTGGTACACAGATATTTTGTTGTTGTTGCTTCAAATCATTTCTTAAAGTTAGATTCTCAAAAGCAGAGTTATTGGGCCAAAGAGGAGAATAAATTTTTATTTTTATTTTTTATCTTCACTCGAGGACACTTTTGCATTTATCTTCAGATAGAGCTGGAGGGAGAGAGGGAGGAAGAGAGAGAGAGAAACATCGATGTGAGAGATACCCATCGACTGGTTGCCACCCACACGACTTCAACCAGGGCCAGGGACAAACCACAACCCAGGTATGCATCCTTAGAGGGAACCGAACCCGGGACTCTCCGGTCCGCAGGCTGACCCTCTAACCACTGTGCCAAACTGGCCAAGGCAAGGAGAATAATTTTTAAACATCTACAAAGCTAATGGAAATGCCTGATGGTGTTGATTTTTCTTTATTTTCAAATAAATATGACCTCTTAAAAGAGAATATCTAGCAGATTGGCTCAGGGGGCATATAAACAGAACAGTGGGTAGGCTTCACTACCACAGCCTCGACTCATGCCTGCCTGTATTTTGGACCACCACATGGATCCTTTACCTCAGCCTTGATGAATAACACCCCTTGAATCTGTACATCTGAATGTCTTACCAGTGCAGCCTTCTGATGACCTACCTCCCCCCCCCCCCCCCCCACTGAACAATCGCTAGCTTCTACCACTGGGTGCCAACTCTCAAAGGCTTAGTGGTCTTGTGACCCTGAAGCATCGAGTGATCAAGTGCAGACCGAAGGAGATTTGAACATGAACATGGGTATGAGATCCCAAGCCAGGAGCTGAGCTTGCTCTCCCGAGGAGACAGCTCTTATGTTGATACCTCTCTTCCTCTCATTAGTAACTCCTTGGTCTTCTATTGGAGAAGCCCTTAAGGAAGCTGTGTTCTGCAGAACATTATTGTTTTGCTAATGTCCTTACAGTCCAAGCAAGCCCTGATGACTACGGGACTGAGCTATTGAGACGGTATCATGAAAACCTCTCTGAGATTTTTACAGACAACCAGATGTTGTTAAACACGATCCCGCATGTGAAGAGTTTAGCCCCTGGAGAAAGAGAGGTAAGAGAGGTGGCGGGGTGAGGGTGGGGGGGTAAATGAGAAAATAGGGGAAAAATGAATATATATACATATACATATATATATATATATATTTTAAATATACTTATATTTTACATAAATACACACACACACAGCCATGTTGAGAAATACTGAGCAGTCAGGAGAAATAGAAGGTGATTCAGTTTCTGAGGCAGTATGACAAGTAGGACAGCCGTGATTTCTGCAGTCGTAAGGAAAGCATTCAACAGGAGGAACGAAGAACATTGTTGTGTATAAAAACCTCGAGGTAGAGGTGAAGGATGCTGAGAAACTCCTCCCAGAAGCACATTCCCGGGGACCCAGTGCTCAGACAGGCAGCCCTGCCGCGGGGCCAGTGGCCAGAAAGCCCCTCACATGTATGTTTGTGCTGCATCTTGAAGGTCATGGAGACGCTTGTGAAACGTGACTCTGGTTCGGGTGGCTTCAGTTCTCTGATGTCAGCGGTTCTAGAAAAGCAGACTCTGTCCGCGACAGCCGTTTGGCAGCTGCTGCTGGTGGTTCAGGAGACAAAGACCTGCCCGTTGAGCCTGCTCATGGAGGAGATACGAAGGGAGCCTGGGGCCGATGCTTTCTTCCGGGCAGGTAGCTTATGTGGCCTCGGTGCTGGCTTTGTCCCCTCTGGAGATTATTGTCAGTCTTGTCAGAAAACAGAAAGAGCTCCCTTCTGGTAGTCCTTCACATCCCTACCAGTAGAAGCAAGGACTAGTAATCTTGTTCCAGGATGTAAACCTTTTAAAATAAAATATGCAGTAAGTATTCTAAGCTTACAGTCATAATTATACGCTGAGTGCAGTCTATTTGCCATTTTCCTTGCTCCCAACCCCAGGTAGGAGACAAGTGAAGTGTTTTCTCAGTATGAAGAGTTGAGTTGAGAAAAGGTAAAGAGAATTCCCAGAGCCAGAAATGGTGCTCGTAGTTTTACTAATGAGTTCTCAACCCCCCTTGTCTTTCAGTGAGCACCCCAGAAAGTGCTGCCTTCGCAGCGCTCCTGAGGCATCGCGCGCTGACCCTGGAGGCCATCCAGCACAGGCTTGCACTCAGGGGCTTTGCCTCAGAGGAGGAACACCTGGCGCAGACCATGAAGGAGGTGTGGTGGATATAAATCCTTGCTTCAGAGATTTGAGGGTGATGCCTGGGACTGCCTCACTCCTAAGGGAGGAACCCTCCTCTGTGCAAGCCTGCGGTGTGCTCGCTGTGTGCCGAGCCCTCCACCGCCCATGACGGTTTTGCTCTTTAGTCCTCCCAACTCTGGTAGATGTGGGAGGCTCACCATCCCCATTCTGCAGACAAGGGAACTGAGGCTCCAGGGGTTCAGTAACTTGTCTAAGGTGCTCCAGCTGGTTAGCGATGGAGCCAGACTATAAACCCAGGTTCATGCGACTCAAACCTCAATTTAGTCTATGTGTCTAAACCCTGGTAAACTCAAAGGGAGCCATGATACTGTGCTCTCACGTGTTTTTTGAAGCAACTTCTTTTAGAGAAAAAGTAAAATGGTGTTAATACATGCTTCATTCTGGCTTCTAGAAAGAGCCAAGGTAAACATAGATAGAACAAAGTTTTTGTCCATATGGGGTAGCAAATAGTGCCAACTCATTTTCTGTAAGCCTTCTCACAGTGTGGCCAGCGTGCCAGAGAAACCAGGTGGGGACTGGGAGAGAGTTCGTGGATGTCCTTTCCAGGACCATGTGTATCTCAAGTGGGGAAGAGTTATAAAATTAACCACAAATTTACCTTTCAACCCACATAGGCTTGGGAGGTGTGCAGAAGGGCTGGCTTCTTCCTGTCCTCACAGGTGATAGCCCCACCATAGTCTGGCTCAGATGGGAAGAAGACGGCATACGTGTCTGTGGGCTTCAGAGGAAAGATCATCTGTTAGACTCTTCCAGCACGCCACATACTTCAGAGATGGGCTTCCGCAGTTGATCAGTTTGTGCCTCACTAATTAGTCTCATGCCTGCCTCCAGGGACATCAGGTTTATTTAGATAGACTTGAAAAGAGCAGAAATAAAATATCTTCCAAAATGAAAATTCTGTTTGGCCATCTGTGGATGGTTTTGCTTTCTTTTCTCAGTGTTCCGACTCTTTCTGCTGATAATGCTCCCATTCTGAAAGAGGACGGCTTTGAAATAATGTTCTTGGCCTCTTTAAGCCCCTTGCTTTTAAAAGCTGAGTTTCTTTATGAAAGAAAATGATGTTTAAAAGAGTATATCTAAGTATCTAGAAATGTGAAACCACTGATCTTGCAGAATTACTTCCAGACATTGAGACAATTATATATTATGAAAAATCATTTTGATCTTCAAGGCAGAAACACCAACAACCAAAGCCTGCAGTTTTCCAAGCGTTTACCATTAAGGTCTAGAAAAGCTCTGCAGGGACTCCTGTTGCTGAGAGGGTATTTCTCATGAAAATGTGTGATGCTTGCTTGCTCGCACCTCCCTTGTACCTGCACGTTTGTCTTCCCGTGCGCCGCCTCCTCTTTATTTGCTAATTTCCCCGTTCTTTGGAAAGCGGGGCCCTCCACCACATTTATCACAAGCTCTGTGAACTTGTTACAGATGGAGCAGCGCCTTCCTGAAATTAGCCATTATTTTTTAAAGTTGAAAACCATGTAGAAAATCTGTTGGCATTAACCACAAACCTTTGTCTTGTGGTGTCCGTTTAGGTTCTGAGCATTCCCTCTGCACCAGCCAGCCCCGAAGCTTCCCTGAGAGCGGCGCTGAGCAGAGCCGTGGAAAAGCCCATCTCAGTCGCCGAGATATGTCAGCTCCTGTGCAGCGTCCACAAGTCTTTCCCAGGCCTGCAGCCTGTCATGCAGGAGTTAGCACATGCTGGTAAGACACGGGCTGGGTGGGGTCCTGTTGGGCCTCAGGTGGCTTCCCTGTTGGAGAGAAGCAGCAGTTTCTGCGAGAGTTTACCCATAGCCACCTCGTTTATTTATTGTGTATGCTCTCAGTACTTAGAAAAGTCATAGACATAGATGTAGAACAATACTGTCTGTGTTAATCGAGTAAAGATGACAGTGCTACTGCTCCAGAGTTTTTGGAGCGTCTCACGTAGTCTGCGTTCTTCTCTAAGAAGATGAGTTAGCAAGCAAAGTGGAAACTTTGAGCATTTCCAGAGCCGTGAGATTTCTCTCTTATGCAGGTTTCCTTACTCAGGAAAATGGGGAGAAGGAAAGGTGGAAGGTGAGTCACAAATTTCACGTTGAAGACAATGACAAAGCAGATGAAAAGACAGCTGAGCCTGTTGAAGAGGACTGCCAGTCTGGGAGACAGAACGACCAAGGGGAGGCCAGTTCCTTGCCAGAGCAACAAGAGAAAGACGCTTCTGCGTCCCCAGACTCTGCCAAGAAGAGCTTCGTCTGTAAGGCCTGTGACAAGAGCTTCCATTTCTACTGCCGCCTGAAGGTGCACATGAAGCGCTGCCGGGTGGCCAAGAGCAAACAGGTGCAGTGTAAGGAGTGTAATGAGACCAAGGATTCTAAGAAAGAGCTGGAGAAGCATCAGCTGGAGGCCCATGGTGCAGGTGGAGGGGCTGACGTCCCCAAGAAGAAGAAGAAGAGGCTTCCAGTGACATGTGACCTCTGTGGAAGAGAATTTGCTCACGCCTCAGGTACATTCAGGAAGGCCAAGTAACCAAGCATGATACTTCTGGGAATTGTGGTTTGGGTTCCAGGCCTGGCTTCTAGCTGTATGCAGTGAGGGCTGCGGATGGGCTTAGAAATAGAGCAGGTGCCTACAGAGGCAGGTGGTGCTTCAAGAAGAGCATGAGCTTTGGAATCACTCTCTGAGCTTTAATTCCCCATCACAAGGCACCCTGATACTTGTTAGATTGTTATGAAGATTTAAGATGATATAGCTAAACACCTAGTGCAGTGCCTACAGCAGAGTTAGTACTCAATAAATCGTGGCTATTGTTATTCATAATAATAACCAGCTACTTAACCCCTGACTCTTAGGCTTCTATACATCACTTGTCTCTTGATAGTAAACGAGAGCCAGGGAACCATGGGATGCATAGTCAGAATTGTTTTCCCTTGCCCCAGATGTTGGCTAAACCTAATGAAACATAAAAGTGAGTTTTGTTTCACTCTTTCTGGGTGACTGGGTCCTATTTAAGAGAGAGAAAGAGAGAGGATAGGAAAGATACACTTGGGACACTTCATGCCTGATTAAACCATGAGTGGGACGGAGGTGATGTTTGGAGTGCTGGGTGGTGGGCAGAGGGCAGCCTGGATATGTGATGAGCAGCATGGCCTGTGGGGTCAAAGCGAGCATGGGCTGGTGTCCTGTGGTTCATGCCCTGCTTCCTCGTGAGGCCTGGCCTGGGGCAGTGCTGTTGGGATGTATCCTGATGCTGGACAGGATGTAGCTTCATGACACTCATCACTGGTGTCTTTCTGGTCCCTGGCACGGCCCCCCTAGGCATGCAGTACCACAAACTGACCGAGCACTTTGACGAGAAGCCTTTCTCCTGTGAAGAGTGCGGAGCAAAGTTTGCAGCCAACTCTACCCTGAAGAACCACCTGCGCCTCCACACCGGGGACCGCCCGTTCGTGTGCAAGCACTGCCTCATGACCTTCACCCAGGCCTCTGCCCTGGCCTACCACACCAAGAAGAAGCACTCGGAAGGTGAGGCGTGGAGAGTGTTCTCCTTTCTCTTGCAGACTGACCTGTGTGAGCTGCCCGAAAACCCGCTCGGAGTTAGGCCTGATCTATAATCTTTTTTTTCCAATCCTCACCCGACATTTTCCCTTTTTTTTTTTGTTCAGATAGAGTGGGAGGGAGAGAGAGAGAGAGAAATATCGAGGGAAAGGGACACATCGAGTGGCTGCCACCCACACGACCCAACCAGGGTCGGGGACAAACTGCAACCGAGGTACATGCCCTTAGTAGGAACCAAACCCGGGTCTCTCCAGACCGCAGGCTGACGCTCTAACTGCTGAGCCAAAGCGGCCAGGGCTGATCTATATATCTTAAGTAGATTAAAAGCCAAACGGAATGTAAAATGTCCAGGCACTCAGAGTAGGAACACATATGTGCAGGAATGGAAATGCTTAGGGTGAGAGCTTCTGCAGAGAGGCTGACTAGCGTAGTGCTGACTTTATAGCTGTAGGATGTACATAGAGCCAGGAATCCCTTGGGTTTTAAGATGGACTCCGAGCATGGGACAGACCTTGGCTGAGCACCCACTGTGGATCGGGCAGTGGCGATGCTGAGCGACAACGCTGGATCCTGTGCTCACAGAGCGGAGTCTAGAGTGTGTCTGACAGAGAGACAGTGACAGTGCAGGCATCAGAGGTGGGACGCGGACACAGCAGTACCTGAGACACAGGAGGGAGAAGTAGGGGTTCTGGTCCAGTCGGAGCAGGGAGCCTCCTCCGAGGACTCTGCGTGGTTTGCAGCATTTCTGTGATAGTGACAATGCCGCCTGAATCTCACCTGGACTGTTGTGGCCTCCTAACCCGTCCCCTACTCTCACCTTCCCCTGGACAGTGTTCTCCATACGCAGGCCCAGGTGATCCTGTGGCAACTAAACCGCATCCTGTCGCTTCTCTGCTTAAAACCCTGCAAAGGCTTTTCGCCTCACCTTTCCCGACCACCCGAGTAAAGTCCCAGTGAGCCAGCCCCAGGTCCCCGCAGTATTTTCCTCCATAGTGCTTGTCCTATATTATCTACATTATTAATTTGTTTATAGTCAGTCTCCCCCTGTTGGAATAAAACCTTTATGAGGGTCAAGCTGTTAGCTTTTTTTTTTTTTTTTCATTGCTGTATCCGTGGAACTCAGATACAGTACTTAGCAATAGAAGGCCCTCAGTAAACATTTACTGAAGAAAATGAATGTCTTCAGCCCTATCGCAGGCACTGGGGATAGTGTCACTGTGCACACCCTGTTCTTGGGGAGCTGACATCCAGTGGGTAAAGCAGACCATAAACAAATACATGTGTAATAAAGATCAGATAGCGGTCATCGCTATGAAGAAAAATAAGCGGGGTAACCAGCGAGAGGACAGGGTTGGGGCGGGGCACTATTTTATCATCAGCAAAGGCTTCTGAAAGCTGAGATTTGAGTAGAGACCTGAATGAAATGAGAGAGGGAACCAGTGGAAGCTCCAGGAGAAAAGTATCCCAAGTGGGAATGAGCCTGGCTGTTGGAGAGACCAAAGAAACCAGGAGCTGAAGCAGAGCAAGCGAGTGAGTGTTGAGATGAGACCAGAGAGGTCGCCAGAGGCCAGGTCTTGCAGGGTCCTGTAAGCCAAGGTAAGGGCTTTGGTTTTATGCAAATTGTGTATTACAAACAGTGGCTTAAAACAGTGCAGATGTATCATCTTACAGCTTTGGAGGTTAAAAGTCCAAACTGGGTCTTAGGATGCTGATGTCTGGCAGAGTGTGTTCCTTCTGGAGGCTCGGGACCGCACCCTGCCCTTCCCAGCTCGTGGAGGTTGCCCACATTCCTTGGCCTGTGGCCGCATCACTCCAGCCTCTGCTTCTGCCATCATGCCTCCTCCTTTGACTCTTCTGTCTCCCTCTTACAATAACCCTTGTGATTACCTCGGGAGGAGGCTTTGATTGTTCTCTGAATCCACGCCCCTCACCTTCATGTGCTGCTGCAGTTCTCCACTGAATATGTTTCAGGGACCAGACCAGCATTTCCAGGCACAAGGACGGATGTTTCCTGCGAGTGGAATGAGCTCTTCCATACTCGTGGTAGCCTGGTCAAAAGACGGGCAGTCTTGTATGATAAGAACTCTGTCCTTATTCCTCAGGGTAGGGAGACCACACTGACACCCTCTCTGTTTAAATAGCTGTGTTTATGAGGCCTCAGCTGATAGGATGGCTCAGGCTCTCACCCAGCGTATTGCAAATTGCCTGATGTTGTGCTGTCTTCTCCCAGATTATATGTCCCCGGTACATGCCTTAGAATGGGTTTTCTTTTTAGGAATGTCATAAGTGTTTAGTGCTGGCTCTAATAAACACATGTATATTTCCAGGAAAGATGTACGCATGCCAGTATTGTGATGCTGTGTTCGCCCAGTCCATCGAGCTGTCCCGCCACGTGAGGACCCACACCGGGGACAAGCCCTACGTCTGCAGGGATTGTGGCAAGGGCTTCCGGCAAGCCAATGGCCTCTCCATCCACCTGCACACCTTCCACAGTATGTTCTGAGATTGTGGCTGTCAGGCATTCAACACAGACCCGGCCCTGAGAAGACGTGACAATCATAACAGAATTGTCACGCTCCCAGGGCTGGGCCCATTCAGTGCCTCTCCTTCCTCTGCTCTCCTGCGAAACCCAGAGTCCCTCATTTCTATTTACAGAGGAATCCTATTCTAATATGGTTTCATGTGGTACCTGTTTCTCTGTGCGGTGTTTCCTTGTCTTCCCTTTTGCCTACCTGACCCTATTTGGCTGACAGAGAAATGCTGTTTGAAGGAGAGAAGGGCTCACAGAGCACCAGAATGCTCGGCGTAGGCCACTGAGCATCTGTTCCTCCCCCCGCCATCCTTCCCCACTCTCGTCTTACAGTCCTGCCCTCCTTCCCCAGGAGCAGCCGGACACTGAGTTCACAGAGGCCTTCGTGAAGGCTCCCTGGTCCCGCCCCCTTCAAAGCTTTCTGCTGTTTCAGATGCCACTGTATTCACTCGATTAGTGGGGTCTGCCTCCATCTTTCTCCCCTTTTGCTAGAACTGATGCCTCAGAAGCACACATATTGAATATGCACCCAGGAAGGAGGAGGAGCTGTGATTCCCAGCACAGCCTCAGAACCGCTGTGTGGCACTGTGGGCCCCATGGCACCGCAGCTCTTGCTGCAGCAGGGGGGATCAGCACAGCCCGGCGGGGGGCTAAGAGCTTGGTGCCTGAAATCACACAGGCCTCGGCTTGAATCCTGACCCTGCCGTTTACTTTCTTGAGACATTAAACAAATTTCTCTGCCTTCCTAAGTCTCCTGGGCCCCTTCTGTAAACTAAAGAAAAAAACAATGCTAGCACCTTAAATTGTGAGAATGGAATGAGCTATCACAGGTAACGCATGAGGCTCTGTACCTGACACAAAAAACATGCTCAGGAAACGCCAGAAAGTATTGGTGATGAGAGTGACCCTCTCGGGTGCTGGTTGTCACCATCAAAGCCTGTCTTTCTGCTTGCCGTGCACCTCGCATCCACTTCTTCCCTTCCCCACCCCTGCTCCCCACAGTTCCCAGCTGTCCGCGGACACAGAGCCTCGCACCCTGAGCTCTGTCAGACACTCAGGTCTGTCGGCAGCCGCCAGCAAGGGACTGCCAGAGCGCCCGAGGGCCCCGCCTGTGGCTGGACTGGGTAGGCAGGAGGAGTGTAAAGGGCTGCCCCCATCCCCCAAAGAGTTTACAGGACTCTCCAAATGCCCAGTTGCAGTCGACTTCCAGATGACGAAAGTGGTTTGGACACAGTGCCCCAGCTCTGATGTCCTCTCAACCTCTTTAAAGGACATTCTACTTTAGTCTCCTTTTCCCAGTAGCATAGCACGGGAGTCGGGGGGGGGGGGGCACTGTCAATTTCCACAATGGAAAGGACCCGAAATATTTTGCCATACCTTAGAGGACATCATTGGCAGCAGGCCCAGCATCCAGGTCCCTCTCTGTTCCTCACCTGTGTCGCAGGACGACGTCATTGCTTAAGGAGAACTGTTTTATAGTGGCTTAAAAGACAATGTAAAATCGAGATTTCAAGACCTCATGTCCACAGGGAAGCGAGTTAATGATACCAAGTGCTGCTGCATGCCAGAATTCCAGAGGTAGTCTGAGTCAGCACACAGAATACTGGCTTGTGGGCAGAGGATTTTATTATTAAAACATTTTATTTTCTGTTGTTTTCAGAAAAAGACTGAAATTTCCTGCCATAGGGGTGGCAGAGGCATTCATCATGCTAGTTCTTACTTTTGAGATCCCACTGAAGAGGTGGCGTGTCCAGTAAGCATGTAGCTCGGAGCGTGGCCTCGGAATGAAAGCTGGGATCGTTTCCTGCTTGTCCGCTGGACACTCCCCGAGCCTTGACTTTCCTCGTCTGTAAAATAGGACTGATACTAGAACCTTCTCGGCACTGAGAACGTGCCTGTCACACGGCGTCGTCAAACATTTCCTGTGAGAGTGGCTTTGTTACTGAGTCTAGAGTGGGGAGCACGGAGCATTCCTCCTGTCATTCCTACGACTGACAGCGAGGAAATAGTGATGCTCTGGGGAGAGTGCTGGAGTCTCTGGAGAGAATTAGAAAACAAAATGCTGCTGCAAGCAGGGGAAGAGCAAGAGCGATAACTCCCCAGAAAACAGTAAGATGGGATTTAACTTGTAAGAGGTAAAATGAGGAATGGAGGTGAACTGTCCGATGCCGCAGAGGTGGTTAATCCAGAAGCCTCAGAGGACTCCCACCTCCCGGGATGAAGGTAGGGGGTGGTCAGGTGATCGCTGTACTGACTTCCGGGTCTTGGAGTCGGTGACCTTGCATGACCTCTACGCAGAGTCTTGTGTCTGGAGCTGTGCATGACCACCCACACCTCACTGACTGCTGCCTGTGTTTTCTTCCTCCCACTCCCATGGACTCCCCACATGGAACCAGACATAGAAGATCCCTATGACTGCAAGAAGTGCAGGATGAGCTTCCCCACCCTGCAGGACCACCGCAAGCACATCCACGAGGTGCACTCCAAGGAGTACCACCCCTGCCCCACCTGTGGGAAGATCTTCAGTGCCCCCTCCATGCTGGAGCGGCACATGGTGACCCACGTCGGAGGGAAGCCCTTCAGCTGCGGGATCTGCAACAAGGCCTACCAGGTGACTGCAGCTTCCCCTGCGCACTCTCCCTGGATGGCGTACTCTGCCTTTGCCCCTTCGGTGGCTTGTGGGGTACGTCTTGTCTCCCGACAGGATGAGTTGCTGGGTCTCATGAAGATGCAGCTGGTAATAATTCAAACTCTCCGGCCATCTGGTCGGAGAAGGTAGTGGGACTCTAATTGGAGCCGAGCTCTCACCCCTCTATACTGAGTGCTGCTCCCCCCAGGGTACTCACATTCTTCAGACTCTACTGACTCTGTGTGTCAAGGGACATGAGATGACAGCAGGGTGTGTAACACTGCCTAGAAGGATCTTGTTCAGCACAATTATTATTTTTTAACAGCCAGGCAAGGACTCCATTTTTTACCTAGAATTTGGTGTGTAGTTAAAGTGAAACTCCGTATAGAAATAAACAAAAACCACATCTGTGAGACACTCTAAGACCACAGAGAAAAGATGCCCTTGCTGGCATCTGTCAGATTCGGTCAGAGAGAGAAGCACAGTAGCTAATTTCAGTTCAGCGAAGATTGAGGGTTAACTGTGTGCCAAGCCTGTGCTGTGACATGAGGGTTGCAGAGCTGAGTAGGACCTGGGCATGTGCTCTAGGAAACCATGGGCGTGTGGGGAGACTGTCTCAGGGCTGCTCTGAACCCAGGAAGGAAGGACACTCGTCGGTGGAGTAGGAATAGTGCGCACCCTGCTCCAGCCGGTTTCTCCGCTGCACCCTGGGTCCCGGGAAGCAGTCAGACAGCGGTGCAGAGCAGATGCTAGGATTTGAACCCTGCTCCTGCTATTGACTAGTCGCGTGACCCTGGGCAAGTCATTTAACCCCTTGACTAGTCATGTGACCCTGGGCAAGTCATTTAACCTCTTGACTAGTCATGTGACCCTGGGCAAGTCATTTAACCTCTTGACTAGTCATGTGACCCTGGGCAAGTCATTTAACCCTCCATGCCTCAGCCTTCCCCTCACTGGAAAGATTCTGACTCCTCCTGCACAGGCTTGCTGTGAGGGTGGGTTTCTCTGCTGAGCCCTGCCCCATAGCGGCCTCTCAGGAAATACCCAGGTGCCTGTTCCCACAAACACTAACCTCTGTCCTCAGGATGATCAGTGAGAGTAGGATTCTAGAGCCATTAACTGACCTGTTTCCCTCTCCAGCTTGTTGAACGTTCTGAAACCTAACACTTAACAAATTCCTTACAGCAATTGTCTGGTTTGTGGTACCACAATCGGACCCACCACCCTGATGTGTTCGCTGCTCAGAACCATCGGTCTTCAAAGTTCTCCTCACTGCAGTGCAGCTCGTGTGACAAAACCTTTGCCAACACTGTCGAACACAAGAAGCACATCAAAACAGAGCACGCAGGTGGGCATGGGGGCCAGAGACGGGGTGGGGCCTGATGAACGGGAGTACACCCCAGCTCCAGTGCTAGCATGTGGGGTGCTGTGGTAATTACCTTCGTTCTGCCCGAGCACCTGGAGGTGCCTCACTGATGCCCAGTGACAGTAGCTTGAGAGGCAGTGGTTCTCAACCCAGAGACCGAGGGCAGTGTAGGCTCCCAGCAGCCCCTGAGTGGCGCTCAGTCACAGCACAGTGGAAGGGGTGGAAATCCCGTCCGCAGCACCAATCAGCTGCATGACTTTGGCAGGTGACTTCTCTTTTCTGTACCCGTTTCCTTCTCTTCAGAATGGCTGTTATTCATACCTACCTGGCAGGTAAATTTGGGCATAATCTCAACAGCCAGCAGTTATGAAGCATTTCCTGTGTGCAGGGCACTATGCTAAGCACTCCACGTGTTTTGTCATTTAATTATCACAACAACCCTGTTTGCATCCAGCTGTCTGGATCCAGACCTGGAGTCTTTACCACAAGGGTGAACTAATCTATCCCAGTTGGAAGGTTCCTGGTACGTGGCAGATGCTTGCCAGTGTTAGCCTCACTTCCACCCTGCCTGATACTGTCCAGCCTCAGAGAGCCGTCCTTGCTCTGCCCTCATGTGCTTCACAGATACGAAGTTCCATGAATGTGACCAGTGTAAGGAGCTCTTCCCCACGCCGGCTCTGCTTCAAGTTCACATCAAGTGCCAGCATTCAGGTCAGTGGGCCTGGGGATGCGGTTGAGCTGCACTGCCTGGCGGTGACTCCTCTCCGCTGTGCAGTCCAGGCTGAGTAACTTCGTGTGCCTCCGTTTATCTGTAAAACAGGAGTTCCTGCTTCGCCAGGTAACTGGGAATTGACTATGTGAGTAGACATAAAACAGAGAGGCCTGGCACCAGTGAGCATCCTGTAGGCACTGCCTGTGATTATCATTGTTCCTGCTCTGTCTCATCAAATCTAAAATGCCAATTGTAAGATGCACCCTTTTTAATGAACCATTAAGAAAGAAAAAAACTGCCAATTAAACTCTGCTTCCTTGTCACTTAGAACTTACAGGTTATTCTAAGTGCTATTTTAGACTTAATTTGGCATAGGTTTCTATGCACTCTTGTGTGCATACATAAAAAGGAAAACAAGAAATATATTAAGGTAAGAATCCAGTTTCTTGGAGTAGCTTTCAATTCAGATTGTTGATATGCGTGTTCTTCCATGTGGTCTGAACTCGGCCATCGAGAGCACTGGTGGCGGGAGGGGGAGGCACGTAGCGGCCTCTGGCTGGTCTGTCGAGCACCTTGGGAAGCTGGTGTACTTCTGATTCCTGCTTTTGGGATGTCCAAACATTCTGAACGTCCACCCCTCGGCTCCTCTTTCCTCAGCCTTTGGGTCCAGTCAGTTAAAGACGTGCACCACTCCTGTCTTAGGGATTTTCTTCCAAGCCCTGGACACACATTCTGCAAGTCTTGGTGCTGCAGGGCTTCATCAGGTTTTGAAGTTCTACATGATGGTCGTTGACGGTGACACCCGACTGCCACCTCGCCCATAGCAGTTGTCAAATGCCATTGTGTCCATTTCAGAGATGTTAAAACATGCTTCCTAGAATTGATGGGATGCAGTGTCGTCTGCACCGTTCTCTGTGGTGGGGTGAATAATGGGCTTCAGCAGAGCTCTGGGTCCCCAGAACCTGGGTCCGCCTTTGGGCCAAATTCCTTGCTGCTCCTTCCCCTCCCCTCTCCCTGCTCACTTCTCTCAGCCGTCACCCACAGCTCGTGCCCTCTGCCCCCACCAGGGTCGCAGCCCTTCCGGTGCTTGTACTGCGCGGCCACTTTCCGCTTCCCCGGAGCGCTGCAGCACCACGTCACCACGGAGCACTTCAAGCAGTCGGAGAGCACCTTCCCCTGCGAGCTCTGCGGGGAGCTCTTCACCGCCCAGGCCCAGCTGGAGCGTCACTTGGAATCCGAACACCCAAAGGTGACAGGCCCTGAAACCCAGGCAGCAGCCTCGCAGATGCTGCAGGTAAACCTGGGGCCGTCAGACAGGAGGGTGTAACGGGGCTCCTAAGGCTTTTCTGGAGGTCTCCAGAGGTCACAACACCCAGTCTCTCTCTCTGGGGCTCTCGGGGTCCTGTGCACAGTACATCCCTCACCAAGAGAACCTGTAAGAGTCTCTCTGGGCCTCTTACCACACAGACCAGAGAACTCGAGTGTCCTAGAGGCCACACGCGAGATGGCCCCAAGTAGTGGGAGCCTAGAGCAAGATTTCCAAAAGCGCAACGGCCTTGGCTCATCTCCCTGTCCGCACGCTTCCTGCCTCCTGTGACGCTGAGCCGCGGTGAGAGCTGCGGGAAAGCGCGGGGAGGGGTCGGCTCTCTGTTGGAAACACCTGCAGTTGAAACGCTCTGGCAGCTCCTCCGGGCTGGTGCAGGACACGTGTGGACATGTGGGCCTCTCCCCTTGACCAGGTGGAGAGCCGCCTCCCTTGAAGTGTGTCACCTAAGCTTGCTCCAGCCCCTCTGTCACCCTTCTTCCGTCTCCTCCAGAGCGGGTGGGCAGGAAAGGAAAAGTAGCTCCCTTCAGGATATTGGCAGTAATTTGTGGGTGGCCCGGAGAGGAACTGCAGGCTGAGTGCATGGCCCAGCCAGCCTCCCGGAGCAGTCATTTATAAGCTGCATTCTGCGGCCTGCGGGGAGCAGAGGGCAAGTCCAGCGGGCAGGCCTCTGGGGACTCTCCTGCCGCTGTCATCCAGAGCAGCTGCCTTTAGCATTTCCATCTGTTGGGGTTCTTGTGTAAGATGTCCTTTGGGGGGGGGGGGGGGAGATTCCATCGCTAAAAGAAAAAGAGAACACAGTTTGAAAACTACTCCCGTAGATGAGTTTTTTGTTATTGTTAATCCTCACCTGAGGATATTTTTCCATTGATTTTTTTTTGAGACAGTAGAAGGGATGGAGAGGGAGCACGCGTGAGAGAGAGAGAGAGAGAGAGAGAGAGAGAAACATCCATGTGAGAGAGAGACATCAATTGGTTGCCTCCCGCATGCACCTTGACCAGAGCTGAGGATCAAATCTGCAACCCAGGTACCTGACCTTGACTGGGACTCAAACCTGAGACCCTTTGGTATGGTGCTGATGCTCTAACCACTGAGCAGCACAAGCAGGGCTAGATGACTTTGGACATCACAACACACAGAGATGTGGCTGAGCTTGGCTGCCCCACTTTTGCTCACCCTCGTCTAGTGCCCTGCTCCCCACTCCCAGTTTCTCAAGCGCACAGTACCTGTGCCCCCTTTGGGACTCCGGTTTGAGAATGTCAGGGCATCAAGCTGTCCTGAGCTCCACAGTTCAGAAGCATGACCTGGAAAGTTCTGGCAGGAATGGGCCATGCTTAAGCATAGACTAGTTCTCCCTGAGATGGGAGGGCATCTTCAGCAGATGCAGATTTGGAGGGGTATGTGTGGCCTGTGGAGGAGAGGAGGAGACGCCTACCTTGCCAGCCTGGTGAACCAAACGAGTGAGTTGACGGCAGTCACATTTCGTCCACCTGCTCTCCCTCGTGTAGCTGTGTAGCCGCCAAGCAAGGCTCCTGCCTGCTTGAGGTTCAGAAACACTGCCTTCAGTACCATCCCTTTCACACAGCACTTACCTCTGCAGTGTAATCCCCGAGGCGGAAAGCCAGGTGGGAGACTGAGCCAGCGTTCGCTGCTGTGTAATCACAGAGTCCGGGCACCCTGCGATGGCGTCCTGAGCCAAATTATAGCAATTGAGCACATGGTTATTTAAATTGTTTGCCTGCCTTCTCTTTTGCATCACTGGTGTGTAAGATTTGCCTCTTCCAATCATTAGGCACATGTAATTGCTCTCCTCAGGTGAAAACATAAATATCATCATTACAGCAGGAGACAAAAACCATGTAAATTCTGGGGAGCTGACTGTGGACACTGCCCAGAGCAGCCTCATGGTCTTTCCCTTCCAGGTGATTCAAACGCCAGAGCCGGCGGCCTCAACAGAGCAGGTGATCACTTTGGAGGAGACCCAGCTTGCTGGTTCACAGGTATTTGTGACGCTGCCAGACTCTCAGACATCTCAGACCAGCTCTGAGCTCGTGGCGGTGACTGTGGAGGATCTGCTGGATGGCACTGTGACCCTGATCTGCGGTGAGGCCAAGTGAGTGGCTGCTTACCTGGTGAAGGGGTCCTGCATTCGCAGCAGAGGGAAAGCTCCGTGGCTTGCCCTTTGCCCTCTGTCCCTGGCTGTCCTGAGCAGTGAGCCTCTTCGCCTAGCACCAACCAGAATGGTCTCTCTTGGAAAACAGACAGAAGAAGTGTCATTGTTCTCATAGAACCAACAATGTCTGGGTCATCGGCGCCGGCCCACTGCTCTCCAGAGCAAGCAGGCCTACTTCCCCACAGGCCTGAGGTGGCCTCTGTGACACTGTCCACCCCTAACCGGGGTATAGCTTCAGAAACAGAATCTGAAGGAGCTGTGGGGTAGGAGCTGGTGACCAAGGTAACCAGAGAGGGGCAATGGGCTGGCAGTCCTCTGTGTAGAATGGCAGGCGTGGGACTGGAGCCCACACAGTGGGGCTGCAGACGCTGTCAGTGCCTTTTGGCCATTTAAGAATGAGAGAAAAGCACCCACAGACCATCCACGGACTCCCAGTCTGGAGCACACTCGGCCCCTTCCTCACTTCTTTTATCCTCCAGCTGCTTGGTGGTGATGTTAGCACAGGAAGGCCATTTACATGGGCGTCTACCTGGGTAGTACATCAGGCCTTCCAGAAATGACACCTTTGAAATGTTTCTGCTGGACGGTCCTGCCCCTCCAGGATCTTCGTGGTGGTCTGCACCTGAAGGCTGGACTCTGCAGCCTTTCCCGTGTCCTCCTCCCGTTCCCTAGTCATTGTCTACAACTCCTGCCCAACCGGGAGGCCTTGCCCCTCCCTCTGGATCATGTAATACAGCTAAGCAAGCAGTGCCAGGGGGCGTAGTGCCCGTGCCACCCCGGCTCTGCCTTTTGCCACTGTCTTCCACGCTGGGTGCGTGGCCTGCCGTCCGAGCTCTTCCAGGCTGCCGCTGCTGCTGCAGGTCAGTGGTCCTTTGGAGTCGGAATCTCACCAAGCTTTTTTATCTTCAGTTCCTAACATGTAATCTGATAATGAATGGTTTGTGGAATCCATTATGAAGTGCAGTTAGGTGGATGGATGTAGGTTCCCCCATTTGGAGGGAATGGCTAGCATTTGTCTTCTGTTCCCCCATGCCAGAAGGTTCTGCTAGTGCAGCATTTACAAACAGGCGTGGGGGCTTGCCCCCCTGCAGAAGACTGGCCCACCCCTTTCCAAGCACATTTCACATCTCCAGGGGCAAGCTGGGATATAGGGTCGATTTTGGTCACAGTCAGGACTTTTATTGCCACCGCACACTGCTGGAACAGCAGAGGCGGGTCCTTGACACTGACCCGTGTGTTCCATGGCTGGCGAGCGGCGTGGAGCTGCAGCATGGGCCAGCTCACCCCTCTGCCTGCCGCTCCTGCCTCCAGTGCATCCCCATTTGATATGCAAATCACCTGAGCTCCTCTGCCCAGGGATCTTCCTTCTGAACTAAATGAAGATTTGAAAGGCAAGTTGGCCTCAAAGCCAAAAACTGACCAGAAGATGGTGCTCAAACCTTTAAGACTTGGACTCCGCCTGCAGCCCTCACTGCTTCTGCCAAGCCTGGCTCTGTCTGTCTCCTCAAGATTTTCAGTCCTGTGAGCTGTCCGACCAGGAGAGCTCTCCACCCGCAAGTGGCAAAATGGCACTGACTCTCCCCCGACACCAGACGACACCCACTGGAGGGGAGGGGAGTGGCTGTGCCCACTGGGCTGGGCGGAGAAGGTGCAGCTCCTCAGAGCCACAGAGCGGGTCGGGTGGGGACGGCAGTGTCATCAGACCATCTTCCAGCCGAAACACAAAATAAGTAAGAAGTGAATCACTGAGGGCCAGTAGGAGAAAGTTAATTTTTCTTTTTAAAAAGTCTTCTGAATAAAGAGGGCTGTATGTTTAGACTCAAGTTTCAGATCCTTTCAAGTACTGAGAAACCCTCTCAGTTTCTGATGGGCCCAGGTTGTAATAGAACAGGCATTTTCTCCAGAATCACCAGGCCAGCGGGTCGCCGAGCCGGGAGCAGACGAAGCGGCCTTGCTGCCGTGGACTCGCCCGTGGCACGTGTCAGCAGGTTCGAGCCCTGCCCGTTTCAGTCGGGTGTGAGGAAGGGCCGCCCTGAATTCACTCTGCTCTGAGCGGACTTTTGCAAGACATGGATGCAGTAGCAGTGATTTTACAGTGTCGCTCCCTAGAGATGCCCAGGTGTGAGTTTCATTGTAGAAAAACTTTTTCTAGTTCTCTTTGGCCATTTTCTCCCACTTCTGCTGAAGAGACCTGAGTTGTTGCCACAGAGGACATTGCTATCGTGGTCTCAGGCCACATCACCAACTTTCCTTATGGCGGTGCCCTCTCCACCTCGTTGCCATGGGTGCTGCCCTGTGGCCTCCGGGCTGCACCCGGGCATTCGAGGTGGTCTGGAGGAGTCTGGGCTCCCAGAGCTCATGAAACAGCTGGTGAGAGGGACAGGCAGGCAGACTCTGAGCTGGAGTCCAAATCGCTGGGAATGATGGGAATCGCTTATGGAACAGGACTTACCCTCCCAGGTAAGGGAGAAGCTCATGGATGGTCTAAGAGCAAGGCGTGCCGTGGGGAGATGTCCAAGCACGTGAGCAGAGCCTGGGCAGAGGGGCAGCAGGGGCAGGAACATTCCATAAAGCCCATCTCTTCTGTCTCAGAAGCTTTGTGTTTGGGAAACTTTGAGGCCAGGCCTCCATGGTCTAGTGTGAGCCTGGGCCCCCTGGCGATTCCAGCCCTCTCCAGGAGGTTCGGACTGCCTCCCTGCTGACCACGGGACACACAGCCTCGTCCCCGGGGGAGTTGCGAGGGGCTGAGGGGTGAAGTGAGGTCAAGCCTGACAGGGTGAATGGTGAGACAAGGTCCCTGTTCTCTGCACCCGGTCTAATAAGGACTGCTCCCAGACTGAGGAGACGGGCCGGGCCCTAAGCGTTTCTCTCACCCCGGGAAGTGTGGTCACCACGGGCTGATGGCATACTGATGAGGTGGGAAGGATGTGCCTTTAGATCTCATGTGCCTGAGATCAATGAATTGACTCAGGATGGAAGAATCTGCTCACCTTACATTGAGTGGTTCTTACAAGCAATATGTCTATTAAACTGGGCCTTGGAAGTTGGGCAGTGGTGGAGAAAATGCTGGTGTGTTCTGATCAGTCCTCCCGAAGGAAGACTTCAGCAGCCTGGCCCTGCTCCGCACGCCCAGTGTATCCCGGGGACACCAGGAGGGACACCGGGAGGTCGGGGGAACGGGAGTGAAGGGAGATGTGGGGTTGAAGGGAGTATGGAGGCAAGTTGGCAGTTGTTTTGCTGCCATGGAAAACCTCGAGGCTGGTGGGACTTAGACCAGAAGCACAGTCAGAACTCAGAAGCTTGCTACACCCACGACTCGGCCTATAACGAAGAGAAGCTGTCTGTGCTTTGGGGATTACGTCGTTGAGGGAAAAGAACCCCCGTGCTGATTTAATTCAGGTCGTTCCCAAATCGCAGAATGTTGATCTCCCTTACCAGGGCCACCCCACCAGCTACCCCGTGGTCAGGATAACTAGCTAGCACGTGATGCTGTATAAATTGGATTACAAACCATTCTTTGTGCTCACCCTGCACTATTCTATATAAATAAAATATGTACTTTGAAAAACATGATGCTGCGTGAGTTTCAAATGGACTGTGATGATACAGATGTTTTCTCTGGCTCAGGGCGGCTGTCAAACAGGCTCCATAGGCCTGGTCTCCTAGGGGCTCTGTGTACCTTGAGGCCATGTCCTGGGGGGGCGGGAGGCGGTGCCCTCCTGTCCTGTGGAGCCTGGTTTCCTAATCCTCTCCCAGGGAGCCGGTGTGGTGCAGGGTCAGACCTGGCACATCCCAGCTGTGCCGCTGGCTGACTGTGCCCTCGGGTGAGATACCTTTCCGAGCTCCCTCCTCTGACTCCCCATCTATAAATGGGGGGATTGTATGGATTAAAAGCCTGGACTTGATGAATTTAGTGTTGAAAATTTCAGTTGTTACTGATCAAGCCCTTCACATAGAGGTCAGCCATCCCCTGCGATTTCAGCACTAAGGAGAGTTCACTCCTTCACGTGCGTTTCTCTTCCGTCTCCCAGTCCTTAGGATTCTCACAACACCCACCTCCTCTCATTCATCTCTGGACTCTGCATTGCCCCCAGCACAGTGCGGAGCAGGAGCTGTGAATAAGCAGAACCTTTGAGGTGAGAGCTGGGACTGTCACGTTGCTGGCAGCCAACAAGGAAGCGCGAGGCAGACACAGAGGCGCCCGTGATTCCTGCGGTGAGATCCATAACGCCAGGGGAGGGGTCGCACCCTGCAGCGGCTCAGCTGACTTCTCCTGGGACCGCCCTGGAGTAGCCGCTCACCACACTTGTCCAGGCCGCAGGGCCTTGTGAAGGAATGCCCTCCGCCAAGCAGTGTGTCTGGAGAGAGGCTGGCGCTGTCGTTTTTAGAGCAGGAATCCTGAGAGGTCCCAGGCTGCTGGGGGTCGTGGCAGCGTGTGACCGTGCGCAGAGGGGGAGGCGCAGGAGTGACCGAGCAGAGGTAGGGAGTGGGTGGAGGGATTCCCTGGTGACCCAGTCTCTCAGGCCTGGGCTGGGAGCATCCCCGCCTACTTCTGACAGTGACCTGGGCAAGTCATTCGGAACTGCTGGTGGGAAGGAGAGCTGGTGGGAAGGAGAGTTAACGTCTGTAAGATGCCTAATCGAGTATAGATGCTCTGTAAAGGACATCTGTCCATGTGTCACATACTGTCCAGAGCCACGGGGAAGGAGGAAGCCTAACCTGTCCTAAGGCAGAGGGCCTGGAATGAACCACAGGGGCATCCGGGGACCAGAGCAAGGTTAACCTCCAGGCGGCCCCATCGCAGACCAGAGCCTGTGTCCCAGGCCAGAACCAGTGGGGATAAGAGGAGCTTGGAGCAGGACTCAGCCCGAGGCACTGCAGGTGAGGGTCACATCTGAATAAGGCACTGACTGGTGTCAGGTGGGGACACACCTAGCAAGAGCAAGGGAGTGGGAGCACTAAATATGGATGATCACTGGCCTTCCCTCCTCCCTCCTGAGCTGTCGCATCCATTGTCTGTCTTGCCCTCCATGAGCTTGTACTCAGGGATGTGTTTGGTGTGAAAAAATAACACACCTAAGCCGAGAGCCATCAGCCTTCACTGGACATAACCCAGGATGGAAGGTTTCACGGAGGAGGGAGGGCCCAGGACAGGCATAGAGAGCAGTCTCATTTTCTCCTTGTGCATCTGCCGTCTTCTGCCCTGTCCCCAGTGCTACCGGTCACAGGTCCCGTGTCCATGAAGATGCTCCCAGCTCCCCCACGTGCTTGGCCCCGCCGGGACGGAGCAGGGCTTCTTTCACCGGCCCTCACGGCCCTCAGGGACAACCAGCTTCTCACCCTGCCAGCAAGGCTGTTCCCCAGTTACCTGTAGGATGGTTTGCCAAACACCCTCCTTTCTCTGTCCTCCAAGGGGGGATTAGCAGCCGGCTTAGAGCAGCTGGCCGGGCCGGAGCTCCCGGCTGCTCTCATCACACACCGCTCCTGCCAGCGCTTCCTGCCCTCGGTCCCTGGCGCACACTAGGAGCAGCCGACCAAACACCAGGACAAGGTCAGTGCAGGGACCACGGTCCCCTCCAGGGGAGATTTCATGGACCTGCCATCAGGAGGGTCTGATAAGAATGGGCAGGGGGTGAGCAAGGGAGCCCGTGGGGCTGGCACAGGGCCAAACAGCTTTTCATTCCACTGAAGGTCGAAACCTCTGTGCTCCTCAGAGGGTCCAGCCCGACGCCGGCATTTCCAGAGAGGCCAGGGCTAGTGCTGCCTGTGAGCCCAGGGAACCGAAGCAAAACCAGGGCGGGTAGCTGTGCGTGCGGGGGTGAGAGAGGGCCGGTCGGAGCCAGGGGGAGCACAGAGTGATTGGATCATCACAGGCTGACTTGAGATCGTCCCTCGCCAAACCGTGACCCCTGCAAGGGCAAGAACTGTGTGTTACTCTTTCTGTAAACACACCTGTGCACAGGTAGCCTGGCCCATCGGGGGTCTTAGACCTGAAGTTCTGGAGGCTGTGAGGATCCATAGGTGCTCGGTCCCACGCAGATGCTGGGGCCATATCAGGCTGCAGCGGTGTGTGGGGCTGCTGGGCAGGCAAGGGGTACACATGAGAACAGGTCCCCAAACACCCATTCCTGCCCTGGCCTGCGTGGCTCCGTGGTTGGAGCGTCGGCCTGTGCACTGAAGGATCGCAGGTTTGATTCCTGGTCAAGGGCAGAGGCAACCAATCGATGTGTCTCCTTCACATCAATCCCCCCCCCCACACACACACACCTCCTTCCACTCTCTCTAAAAATCATTGGAAAAATTATCCTCGGGTGAGGATTAACAACAAAAAAACACCCATTCCAGTTCAGACTCAAGACCTAAGATACCTATAAATACTGTGTTTCTCTTTTTTAACTTTTTGTCTTTTTCATGAGGGTGGGGGATTAATATTGTTTAGAAATGTCCTCATAATTAATAGTTACTGTCAACTAGCTCCTACCACAAGTTGCACCCGGGACAAAGGCGTTACGTGGTCCTCCTGCGCCAGCTCCGGACGTCTCGCGGCCGCTCCTGCCCGGCCGAGGACACCAGCGCGGAGAAGTCGCTGGAGCCCGTGACCAGGGAGCGGCCCCGGGGCCCTGAGCCCGGCCGAGGACACCAGCGCGGAGAAGTCGCTGGAGCCCGTGACCAGGGAGCGGAGAAGTCGCTGGAGCCCGTGACCAGGGAGCGGAGAAGTCGCTGGAGCCCGTGACCAGGGAGCGGAGAAGTCGCTGGAGCCCGTGACCAGGGAGCGGAGAAGTCGCTGGAGCCCGTGACCAGGGAGCGGAGAAGTCGCTGGAACCCGTGACCAGGGAGCGGAGAAGTCGCTGGAACCCGTGACCAGGGAGCGGAGAAGTCGCTGGAACCCGTGACCAGGGAGCGGCCCCGGGGCCCGAGCCCGGCCGAGGACACCAGCGCGGAGAAGTCGCTGGAACCGTGACCAGGGAGCGGCCCCGGGGCCCTGGCCCGGCCGCGTGGCTCCAGGGCCCTCACACACCGCGCTGTGTTCCTGCGCTTCCTGCTAACAGTAGGCGTCCTTCCCGGGCCTGAGCCGCGGCCCGTCAGACCGGGGCTGTTGCCACAGGGCGCACCGGTCTCCCGACCTGCTCTCCTCAGCCCCCTGAGAGGCAGCCGGGCCTGACACTGCTTCCTCAGCCGGCCGTGGCGGCGAGCCGCAAGCAGGCCGTGGCCTTGCCGTGGCACCCGTGGCCCGCCTGGGGCTGCCCCTCCCCCAGTTCTCAGGCAGCACCTGCGCGCTCCCCCGGGGCCCCTCGAGCCGAGGGTGGGTGCCCGTCCGGCAGGGCCGGGAAGCACCTTGGCCGATCTGACTTCCCCGTCTGTCCTGTCCCGGGCTCCTGAAGGAGAAGTGTTCTGACGCGGCAGCCACTTTACTGGAAAGCACCGGACGGGACTAAATTAACACAGTGGTTCGGAGCCGGCTTTCGCGTTACTCAGATCTGAGTTCAGTTCCCTGCTCTGTCTGTGAGCTGTGTGATTCCAGGTGTGTCAGCTTTTCTTGACCCTTTTCTTTTTGTCTGTAAGATGGAGTAATGAAAACCCATGTGTTGTAAGAACTGACACATGACAGACTGTGTGGGTGATGGCGGTAGCGAGTGCTCAGTACACGACACCAGTCATGCCGTCGGGCACCCGGCGCTCCGGGGTGGCTCCCGCCGGCGCAGGACCCCTCCGGGTGCCTCTGAAGCTCCAGTAAGATGGGCTTCTGGGTGGGGAGAGGGAGAAACGGCACAAGCTGGACAGAGTCCCTGGAGGGCGGGCCTGGTCTTCACCATCCATGTCCCCCATTTCCGGTGTCGGCATTCGGCTGGTCTGCAGGGAACACCTGTTGTGTGACTAGGGGAGCAGCAAAACCAGGAGGACAGCCGGGCCTGCGGCCGCCTGGGACCCCGCTCCCCATGCTGCTCCCTGCTGTGCCACAGAGCGAGGAGGTCCTGCTACCCGACCCCAGGGGGTCACAAATGCGAGCAGACTCCCTAGATGTGACCAAGCCACAAGGTGTGGCCACGTGGCCCCAGCGGAGTGTCTGGTCTCAGCTTCCGCAGGACGGGTTTCATCCACTGTGCCCTGGTTTCTGTCCTAGCTGGTCTACTGGAGCTGAGGCCTCACCGGGCGGAGCAGAGGCCTCACCGGGCGGAGCAGGGGCCTCACCGGGCGGAGCAGAGGCCTCACCTGGAGGAGCAGAGGCCTCACCTGGTGGAGCAGGGGCCTCACCGGGAGGAGCAGAGGCCTCACCGGGCGGAGCAGGGACCTCACCGGGCGGAGCAGGGGCCTCACCGGGCGGAGCAGAGGCCTCACCGGGCGGAGCAGAGGCCTCACCTGGAGGAGCAGAGGCCTCACCTGAGGAGCAGAGGCCTCACCTGGTGGAGCAGGGGCCTCACCGGGAGGAGCAGAGGCCTCACCGGGCGGAGCAGAGGCCTCACCTGGAGGAGCAGAGGCCTCACCTGGAGGAGCAGAGGCCTCACCTGGAGGAGCAGGGGCCTCACCTGGTGGAGCAGGGGCCTCACCG